TGAAAACATCCATTAAATCAAAACTATAACTCATAAATGAAAAGAAAATCTAAACTGCAATAACAAAACTCTTTCTGGAAACTAAACCAAACTGAAAACGAAGCATCTTGCTGTCGTTTTAGATCCACTGCTAGACTTAAACACAATACTGTGTTCATTATTTAGTGGCTCTATAGTGTAGTGAGTTACACATATACCTATCAAGCAAAAGATCCCCAGTTCATCTGTGGAAGTAGACACAAATCCCTTGGGGGTTGTTTCAGAAAGGATGTAAAAAAAATAAATAAATCTGGCAAATCAAATATGTGGAGCTACCTGCTGTGGCAAACCCTTGTGAATAAGGCAGCAGCTAAAAGTAGCTTCTTCTGCTATAGTGATTATTTCCTACAGTACATACCATGTTGAGTTAGCCTGGCACTGGAATGGTGGGAATGATAAAAAGGTATAAAACCGTCTCAGTCTGGCAGGTGGTATCAAAGAAAGGGTTGGGGGAGCTGTCGGTCTGCTCACACCCACACAGCCTGCAGAAGATGTCTAAGTGACAATATCTGTGGGTGTGAAAGAACAAGGCGTGTACACATGTGATATATGAAATAAAAGGAGCCTCGCATAAACCTCTAGAGAACAAGTCGCCCTTTTGAATGACAAAATACATTAAACGTGTTGTTTATTCCCAGCAAGATATAGTTCCAGTCAAACAGCTGCAGCTATAGTAAGACACTGATGCCGTTATGAATCTAGATAGAGATCAAAGGACACAAAATCTGTCCTATCATATTATGACCTCAATTTAGTTTGTCCCGACTGTCCCTTCTGAATCGGTTGGATCACAAACCATAATCCCCTCTCTCTGTGGATTAATAATGTAATCTTCAGAGCAAACACTGAGCGTAAATGAAATGTTTAGGTATTCACCTGGGCCGTATTGAAATGAGCGAATGACCCCAGTCAGACATCACTCACGCTGAAACAAAAACTTCACAGCGTTCACCTTGCTTGGACTGTTGCAGTGAACATTGAAGGTATTTCATCACGCGCACACACAGGGTTTGAAAGTCACCCGAAGTATGTAATCAAGTAGTTTCCTGTACTTCTTTTTTTTCCTTTCCTTTTCCCATTTGGATGCAGGAGATTATCATAGGCCTTCTGAGGGACATTCTTCATTACATTTGATCATCTGACTCATTTTTGTGAGGCTTGAAGTAAAAGCCGGTCTCTTTTGTGCTATAATCCCCTGTTTGTCTGTTCTTCCGTTCTTTCTTTGTCATCCAAGATCAGGCAAGCATCCAATAAGCAGCAAGGGACCTTCACTTTTTTTAACACGTATTACAAGTGAACAAATTGTCACACAGCCCATGCAGCTTCGTTTAGTGACGACTAACACAAAGAAGAAGGTGTAGACTGGCTTAGTAAACGGTTTAAAATAATCTGAAACATGCAGTGGGTCAGGTTTCACGTTTGTGATTTCTGTTTTGAATTTAACTCGCAGTGATTTTACTTCTGCAGGAGCATTTGGCACCCAGTCCCACCCTGCAGG